GCGTCCAGCACACTGTCAGCTTAGCGGTGAACGAAGTATAGCCAATGCAGCCGATGGGCATATATTGATGGCTCATGAAAGCTGACACAATTTTTAAGAAAAAGAAATGCTGCACATGTATATCGCTCTTCCACACTTGTTGCATTGGGGTGGCATTGGGAAGTGGCACGGCGACACTCACGAATGAGAATGGATTTGTGTTCATCAAGCATAGTTACAAAGTTTATTTTTTTGTTTCTACATTTCTAAATGCCTGTATTGCAGAGCCGCAAACAGATAAACGAGACTGAGTGTCCCATGTATGGGCATCAAAGTTCGTTGACAAACACAACATTCTGTACATGTATGACTTTCCGAAACACCCTGTGAATCCACGAAACTGACTAGAAATCCTGTGACATTTTGTTTTTTTTTGTTTGTTTTTTTAATTTTATAGTGGATAACATATAGTCCTCTAACTTTGAGCCCGCACTCCAGCACAATGTATTAATTACGTTTGTGTTGACTCCTTGTCTTGTAAACCCCGTGCTGGGAAAAAAAATGAAATGAAACGCATTAAAATGCTTTCAACTTCAAGCACATCACATTCACGCGTTTTCTTAGAGATAGATGTCCTTCCATGCACTCGCTGCCGTACCACAACCGATTTCATCTCGTTTGCAGAAAGAACCTTTTATGCGAACAGAAACTGAGGGGGAGGAGGAGACGAGAGTGCGCGGGGACAACAGAACGTCGAGCTCTGGTTGGATTGACTAGTGGCACAGCCTCCTATATACTGACAAAGCCTGGCAAATCGCCACGAGAAGCGGCCGCCGAAATGAAAAAGGTGGAGCGCCAGGCAACGGATGAGAGGAGAGCCACGTGACTGGCGCCCCACTGCGGCGAGACGCCGAAACACACTTCTCCCGAGTGAACAAATGTGTTTTGGGTCCTCGCCACTGCAAAAGCTGTGTGCTGACGTCCAGGTTTTCCGAGAAATGGCTCTTTGATGCTATGTGGTACCAGATCCTCGCGCTCCAAATCTGCGACCGGGAACTCTACGGCTCCGTCGTTGAACTGCCAGGCTTTGTGAGTATAGAGGAGGTTATTTTAGTGGGTAGGTGCAAAGCTAGCTGCCTTTGTCTCCACTGCACATGCCGGACGCGTTCGAACGCGAATGTCAAACGCCGGGCGCCGGCGTTCCGCGTTCTGACGCGTTCGACGAGTGCAGCGGAAGCAAGGGCAGCTTTTGTCTCCATTGTTTCGGTGTCAATGAGATTACTCCGCGAAGCAAGAAGCGTGAACATAATGATGCAAGCCCTGCGTTTCACAAAGGTGCCCTGAGGAGGTTTCTGAGATCGCCTAAATATAGCGATAACTCACTCTGCGGGCTCTAAGCATGCTAGAAATCCGTAAAGTATAGCAATACGCGGCAGATTTCCATATTAAGAAACAAAACAAAAATCATTCAAAGATTGAACACACTGTGGTAATCCCCGGCGATGGGAGGAGCATTGTTCCGACAACCAGGACGACATTTGACCAATGAAAACGCGACATTTGGTTGAGATTGCGAACGCTGTTATTACAAAATATATATGGTTTTGTGAATGATAAAAGCAAAGAAGGGTGTAGTCGAAAAATGTTTTTCTCGTGGAGAAAACATAATACTCCAATAATCGTCTGAAAAATAACGCACTGTGCTTTTGTTCTCTCTTCCGCGAGAGTATTGTGTCCGGTCGTCAGCTCTCGAGGGCGCGCTCCCTGGGTTCAATCGTAGCCCGGGCTGTATGGGCAATAGCCGCACGCATTCGAGATAGCACTCCGGGGTTCAACCGTTCGTAGGCGCGAGAGTCCTCCCCTAGCCTTTGGCTGACAGTGGTACTGGCTTCGGAACATGCACCCCCATTTCCGGAGATGACCTCAGTGTGTTGCGATCTTTGATTGCTTTTTTAATAGAAACATCGGCCGCGTATCGTCGTGATTTAGGGATTTCTAGGATGCTTAGAGCCAGCAGAGTGAGTTGTCGCAATGTTTAGGCGATCTTAGAAACCTCTTCAGGGCACCTCGATGACCATAGGCTTTCAGACTTTCGGTATCGTTGACAGCGTAATCTCATTGTCATTGATCTGTCTGAGACTCCGAGATCACAGCAATAATACTTGATAAAAAAAAAAAACAGTAGGAAACTAATCTCAAGAAGACAAAATCTGTCGTAAAGGATTAGGCGCACCACGTCGCGCTTACAGTCTCAATAAGAATATGTTCGAGACCGGTTATAACGAGATAGCGGATATAGCGAAGTGATTTCCGATCCCCGTTGACTTCGTTATACCCGGTCTCGACAGTAGTATACTCCGTCCGCCCATAAGCTGACAGTGCGGGGGGATCGAGCTACGCGCTCGCCGGACCAATGAGCTGTCTCTCCCTTTCATCAGCTGACCGCGCTTTTTGTGCGTGGGTATGAGCGGTAACGTGATCACGTGGCCAAAGTCGTACGACTGGTTCAACAAGCGCTTAGTTTCTACCGCACGGCCAGCTAGGGGCAAACACAGTACATGCACGTTGAAGACAGCGACGCCTTCTGCGGAAAGTGTAGCCATGATGTAGACACAAATCTTGCGCCTGGCAAAAAAGGGCAAAATTCTCATTTCTCATTGCTAATCTCGAATGCAAACAAAAATTTTTTTGGAGTAAAAAAAAAAAGTGAAAGCCGTTTAGAACTCCCTGTAACGCCGAATTAGAGCGCAGCTCTTGAGGATGAGGAGGGAAGGGTACTGAGAGGGGGGGGGTATGTGACCTCGGGGGGGGGGGGCACATGACCTCGGGGAGGGGGGTCACGTGTCCCCCGCCCCTCCCTGAGGTCACCGAAGGTACCCGAGGTCCTTCCGAGATCCTCCCGAAAGAACCAGTCCCGAGGTCCTCCCGAGATCCTCGGGGGGGGGGGGGGGGGGGGGGGGGCGTATAAAAAGAAACCGAATGTTCGAGATCCTGATCCACGAAATCGAAAGAGCGTGCGGGCAGCTAAGTTGGTTTTGCTTTATTTCATCGCATCTGTCTCGCTCTTGAACCATCATAAGGGATTCTGAAGGCTGTACCGCAGATCATACCAACGCTCTTGTCACATGCTCGCTCCAGATAGGTGAAGTTTTCCTGTAAGTAGAGTCACTAGATCTGGGAAAGTATTGCCATTGCCTTCCCGCCTGCTAGCCGAACAAAAAAATAAATAAAATACAGACGACAGAACCTTTGAATATGATTGGATGACCGATCTCGATTGCCATGGCGATCGCCATTTTGGGCCTTTCGAATCTTCGAAGCTTCAAAAGGGTCGCTCCAACCAGTCGCACCAAGATCGCTGCGAAGCATCATCGTGCTCAAAGCACGATGATGCTTCGCAGCAATATAAGCGTCTTTGGAACTGGGTATGCAATAAGCGTAACACTCATGATTATCTCCCCAGATCTCTCACAATTATGTTGCTCTTCTTGCGTATTTGAAGACAGTAAACTTCAGTGCCTTCAAGCACTGACGTTGCATGTGATGGCGGTACGAAGATGTGCGCCATGACATGCGGCGTCAGTGCTTGGAGGCATTCAAAAATAATTTTCCGGCCTTGAAACACGCAAGAAGAGCAACATAATTGAATTGTAAGAGATCTGGGCCCGTTTGCTCGAAGCACTAACCGCGGCTAAAGTTAGCCGCAGTACCTAGGAGAGGGATTTGGAGATCACGTGACTGGCTCGGTAGGGATGCGGGGAAACATGGCGGTGCCCCAGTGAGTGAGCGCCGCTCGCTTTGGAACTAATATGTCGTTGTGGTTGCAATATCGGGCGCGTTAGTCAGCCACGAATGGTGCAGGAGGCTTTCACTTTGCCTTACCTCACTTAAGCCGCAAAGCATGGGCAATGACATCGCCGCATTTTTTAGATAGTGTTTCGATTCTGGGCACTCCTAAGCCTAAATGAACGCGATAATTGTCGGCATAGCAACGTCTTTGGAAAGCGGATTGTTGATAGCACACAAAAGCAGACGGCGTCCCAACAGACCTTTTTTCTAAATTATCCAAGCACCGAGGTGCATGCTACGGCTGTAGTTGCACGCGACGCACGTGCTGGCGTCTGCAGTAGTAACCGTTCTAAAGCATAAAGTATAAAACAAATTTTGCCTTGCACGCGCGTTCGTTAGAGCCTTATTATGATTTTTTACTTCAAATCTTTTATAAGAGGAAGGCCAGCGCGCGTGAACCGTAGAATTACACTTCCAGCGTTCTCCTCGCGATGCTTGGATAATTGAGAAAAAAGTCTGTCGGGACGCTGTCTGGTTCTGTGTGCTATCAACAATCCGCTTTCCAAAGACGTTGCCATGCCTACAATTATCGCGTTCATTTAGGCTTAGGAATGCGCAGAATCGAAACACTATCTAAAAAGTGCGGCGATGTCATTGCCCATGCTTTGCGGTTTAAGTGAGGTAAGGCAAAGCGAAAGCCTCCTGCATTATTCGTTGCTGCCTAACGCGCCCGATATGGCAGCTACAACGACATATTAGTTCCAAAGCGAGCGGCGCTCACTCGCTGGGGCACCGCCATGTTTCCCCGCATCCCCACCGAGCCAGTCACATGATCTCAAAATCCCTCTCCTAGGTACTGCGGCTAACTTTAGCCGCGGTTAGCGCTTCGAGCAAACGGGCCCTGGGGAGATAAGCATGAGTGATAAGTTTATTCTATACCCAGTTCCAAAGACGCGTATTAGCGGCGAGAAGTTTTGGTGGCGCCCTCCTAAGGTTCCCCCTTGTGACGTCATTACCTTGCGAACAACAAGTTCGATGGGGTTTGTAAATAGCATGGTGGAAGCCTGAAATCATTGCGCTCTCAAAGCAACACTGCCAACACCGTCGAAACTAAAGTTCTTTCATTCATCTTATTTCCGTCGATGGTATACCCTTTCCGACGTCATAGTCAGCTTTTGGGCCAATCGCGGCAGCGACGCTTTCGGTCGCGCACGGGGCTAATATTGGCGGAGGAACGCTTTCAGTGCCATGATGGATAGCGATTTTGCTGCGACTAATTGAAACGACCCTTTCGAAGCTTCGAGCATTTGAGAGGCGCAAAATGGCGATAGCTATGGCAACCGAGACCAATCATCCAATCACTTTGAGAGGTTTCGTCGCCTGTATGTTGGTATTTGCTTGTGTCCGGCTAGCAGGCGGGAAGGCAATGGCGCTACTTTTCCAGATACAGTAACCTACCTTGTACGAACACCGTCATTAGTTGATATCGCAACCCTTTAGACAAATAGATTAGACCAGCTAAGATTACCCGGCAAATCACAACTCGACATTAATTTGCGGTGTGTACGTAAAGAGCGGTAAAGCATATTTAACTTGAAGAAGGCTTCTCTGTTTTGTCGCATTTTACTCGTAGTGGTTAGTGCCAAACAAGATTGGATTTTATTGCACTATTGTGGATATTTTTATGTCAATATTTTAACCGTGTGAAGTTGTGAACAAATATAGCAGATTGCGCGTTCGGCCTTACTGTACCACGCCCTAGCTGTACACAAAAACACTCATATTGACTGGATATTTTACTCTTGCCCGCATTCACACTCAATACACCACTGCAAAAGACATAATAACATAAACCCTGGGACACGGAGAAATAAAATAGTGAACAGGAGGCGCAAAATATCAGTTTTAGATCAGGATGCTTCCTAATCTGCATTAATCCCGCATTCTTTCGCTTATAGTAAATGAAGCTTCACAATCACGTAACGATGCTGAACTCAAGGCTTTGGCATGAAATGTTCTTTTTGAAATATTTTAGCGAACCAGAAGTACAACTTTCGAAACGATGCCACGCGTCTTTTGACCTCGTGTTCGATTACACCAGCGCTTTACGTGCACTTTTGACGCACTGCATACAGTTGAAACAAATATTTTTAAATTTGCATGTTATCAACATATCTTCCTATTTCATTATCGTCCCTCAGCCAATGAGATAGCAGCATTACCCGATAAGAATGCTGCAGGACCAATCACAAAGCAAGACGCATTAACATAATAAGCAGGGCCCCGCGTTTCTTAAACTATCAATGTTTGTAGCAATATAAGCGAGCTGCCTTTCCCAATAGTAGTGACTTTTAGTATTGCGTATGGAACACGCAACGCTAACGCAAAGCACTTTGCGTTTGCGGTAGCGTTGCGTGTTCAATACTGAGCGTGCGCGGAACCCAAACTGCGGTCTTGGATTGGTGCAGGGAGACGCCGCGCATGCTCGGTGTGGAGCACGCAACGCTAACGCAAACGCAGGGCGCTCTGCGTTTTCTCTAATATCGTGGACGGTATGAGTACGCATCTGGCCCTCAAACAAAGCCCATTTCTTGGATACTTTTTTCTTTTCATTGTTTTAACATTGTAGATGCGACCTCGTGCGATCTATCCACCTTTCTTCTTATTAATATCCCCTTATGGTACGAAAAAGGTGCCAAAACAACATTTAAGTGTCAAATATTTTGCTGCTTGACCAGGGCAGTGTCCGTTTTGCCAGTGTTCAAGACAGTGAACGTCACTGACCTTGTGGTTGCTGCACATGTGTCTGTGAGCATCGCGACGGCTGCACTTCGGCTGGTCACTGGGGGCGCGTTTCGCGCAACAAACACAATAGTACACATGGATTGCAAGTGACGTAGTCGAGTCGCGCTGGTGGTCATTTGTACTCGCTCTTGCAGAGAAAAATGAAGTCGGTGTTGCGAAGTGTAATTTCCAGAAGGTACACCTCAACAGTACTGCCGCCTCGAGGCCGCCGATATGACGCCAGTGCAAGCCATGTATATGGGCATGTTTGAGACGAACATCAAGTGTAGCATGCAATACTCAGTGTAAACATAAGAGCAGCGAAGACCAGATTTTAAACACGGGAGAGAGGCTAACCGCACGCGTGTAGAGTGTCTTGAGTTCGAAGTTTCCCGTTGCCGAAGAGCGTGAGCACAGTTTATGAGGAGTGACCTTTTCTGTTTTACTTGATACACGAGAAAACAAACTATACCAGTGTCACACACTCGTAAATGTTAAGCACGGGCGATGTGACCGGACGTAACACCCGATTTCACTCTCACGTTGTGAGCACGATAGCTTCCTCACTTCTATGGAGCTTCTTCGTAGTCCTTGAGCGCATTAGTCATCAAGACCGAACAGACGTTTCGGCATCGCCACACCAACGCGTTTTCTTCGCGCCAGACACACACACATACACACACAGAGGCGACGCTCAGACCCGGGAGTCTTCGTAGTCTCCGATCTTGCCGTTGACCTCCTTGAGACCGCGGTTGCCGTTGAACTTGAGGCTGGAGCCTCCGCCCGCAGCACGTACGCTCACGTACGTGGTGTACGTGTTGACGCGGCGCAAAGCGGCGCCCTCGTTCGACTCCTTGCGAAGCGTTTGTCTCCTGAGCCGCCCCGGCCAGCAGACCGGCGGCCAGCAGCGACGGGTCAGGTTGCCGAAGCCCTCGCGGAACTTGGCGTTCATCCAGCAGTAGATGAACGGGTTGTAGGAAGCGTGGCTCATGGCCAGCCAGTGGATGACGAAGTAGATGTAGCGGATGTACTCGTAGCTGTTGATGTCCGGGTTGAGGTCCGAGAGCAGGATGTACGCGTTCAGCGGGAACCAGCACAGCATGAACACCGTCACAACCATGATCATCATTTTGATCATCTGCGGGGAGAGAAAAAAGATGAAGAGAACCGGAGTAAGACACTGTGTTTTCAGCGAACTTACGTGGCCCAGTTCAGCGGTGGCCGCGCGTATATTGTACTTAACTACCAGTGAGTTTGTTTGCCCACAAAACAGCACCAGGGGGCGGTATACTCCGTTCACCCTGCATGCGCAGCTGCTAGCATGCAACTCGTTTGTTCCGGAAAAATTCTGCGCCATCTATTAGAGGAACGGTACAAATAAATAGCGGTCGAATCTGGGACTTGAACCTCCGCCTTCAGCGCGAGCTCGCTGGCTTCCGCTGTGCTCTGGTTGCGCGTGCCTGCGCGTTCACACTTGTGTTAGCAAGGGCAGAAAGCTCGCGCTGAAGGCAGAGCTTCTAGTCTCAGCTTAAGAGTGCACGGAGTATAGACGCTTTGCAGCAGCTGTGCATGGGCGCAGCCATCGTCGACCTTCAAGTTTTGTTCCCTTTTATTTTGATCACTTCGCTCCGTCATTGCCACAACGAGAGAGGTTATTGACATTTTAGATCAGATGGTGCTCTTCTACCCAGCATTGACCTTTGTGGAGGCTCGTCAAGGCCCACTTCAGTGGCTTGGTATCTCGGTAAGACCCTAAAAACACTGGATCCTGGGAAAGTAGCGCCATTGCCTTCCCTACCTGTTAGCCGGACACAAACGGATACTAACATACAGACGACCGAACCCTCGCAAGGCGATTGGCTAATCTGGTTAGAAAATTGTATTTACAACAGAGGTGTCATGACTAGAACAAAACCAAAAACCGAAAGCGCGTTATGTACAGTATATACAGGCTCTACATTCCACAAGCCAAGTTAGGCAGCCCCGCGCCTAAGGCGCGGGCCCACGCCCGCTGCTCCGCAAAACACCCGTCCGCGCAATCACTCGCGCAAAGAGACACCGACCGGTACTTCGCTCGCACGTTCCGCCCCTGCAACGCCACAAAGAGAGGGCCGCATCGCGTCCCGTTCCCCTTTTCTCCGCCTAACGCGATCTGATATGATCGACGTATTGAAATCGCACTTCGATACGATAGTTGTGCACGTGGAGGTGTCGGCAGGACCAGCGCCGCAGGAACTCCTGCTCTCCGAGAAGGAACAGTTGTTCCTCGTGGTGCGACACGAGCTTCCGCCGAAGCCTGAACAAAAGCGGCCAAAGCGCGCGCAACCTCCGTCCCCCTGCCACGGCGTAGCACCGGTTTCGCCACAGGACGTACTCGCTCGCGGGAGCAGATTCCGGAAGGCCCGCCAGAAGCCCCGAAGCACAGCGTCCGCGTAGGAGGTACAGTGCCACACCCAGCCCCCGGAAACTAGTGCGAACCACCCGCCAGAACGGGCGCGTCACCACACATTCCGACACAACATGCACGTACGTCTCTCGGTCGTCGCAGTTCGGGCGCTTATCAGTGCGACACACGCACCACCGAAGTAGGCGGTCCCGTGTGGGAAGCACTCCCCAGCCGCGCTGCCACTCGAAGTCTCGCAGGTGTCCTGGAAGGTTGGAGGAGGTGAGGCTGACCCATGGGAATGAATCCGAGAGTCCGATCTGAACGCGAGTGAGCTGTGGTTCCAACAGGGTTTGGGCGAGGCGTGACGCTGGTGTATTCGTGATGTCCAATTGTGGCGCCTCCTCCACGAGGTGGCGGTGCGATTAAAGCGCTTTGCAGTAAGACGGGGGCGGTGTCTCAGCACAGGCACCCGACGGGCCGATGAGGTCGACATCCAGGTCTCGGTGGGAGTGCCCCACGAAGTAGAGAGCGAGAGTTCTGGCCGGGTTCTCAGCTTCGTGTAGGATCATGAGCATTGTCTTGAGCTGGAGTAGCGCGGGCGTGCCATCCACGCAGGGGAAGCCCAATCCTCCCTTCACGCGCGGGAAGGAGAGAACTGTTGGGAACGCCTGATTGTCCGGGCACTTTGGGTACGGCAGGGAGCCGAGCCAGGGCGGGAACTCATTTGGAGGCCGGACTCGGGAAGGACCAGAAAGCAGGAGGGGTGTCTCTTATATAATATAACTCTTTATATATACATATGAACAGGTTACATCATTGGACGGAAGAGCGCTTGTGAGCGCTCGAGAACACTGTTGAGAACACAAGTTAGCAGCCGCCTGCAATTGCTTTTATAACCTCACTTGTCCCCACATCCCTAGCAGGGAATCCCCAGGGTTCATTGTTCGTAACGGCCAGGCACTCCATTTCCCTCTCCCTCAGACTGCCACACGCGACACACACACGGAGGGGCCAGACATCCTTGCCGCGGTGTCGCCGGTCAATTTCGACGGACAATGGTGCCATCGAAGTTGAGGAAGGCGGAAGACATTCATAATTGCAGGCGTCCTGGCTTCCGTGTGTTAGGGGTAATCCCATGGGCGATCTAAGCTGGGGAAATTGAGTAAAGCCTCCTCCTTTGTCGAGGACGTCCCAAGGCTGTTGGGTCGCCATGCGTCGAGGTCAGGCCGAAAAAGCAAGGAGAGGGACCGGACGGCAAAGTCGGCTAGATGACACTGGCGTGGGTCAACCCGATGTTCCTTCGGAGAAGGTAACGTCGTCCCCGCAAACCAAGGTGCGTTGGCGACTCGAAGGCGCCTCTCGCTCTGTCTCCGGTGCAGCTGACCGTAGCCACCTGGCGACGATGCTTCAGGGCGTTCACCCGTGCCGGTCGGTTTGGAAGGGCAAGGTCACCTCCTGGGGGCTTCCGCAACAGCACTTGACGGGTGACGAGCTCGGTTTTCTCCATCCAGAAGAATCTCAACAGAGAACTTCGCACTTGTCTGATGAAGCTTCGCGGTGGTACCAGCACCTGCGCTGGGTAACAGAGACGCCCGCAGAACACCGAGTGGGCCGGGTACCGGCGCTTGGCCATGGGGAGAGCGTAGCCGCGGGCGCGATCCACACTTGCCGTGATGTCGCGCGCAAGGCGGGTCCACATCTCGGGCGAGATTCCCATCGCGTTGTACGTTTTGCCCAGGATCTTCACCACGGCAGTCGCCGGGAGCGGGGAGGCTGGGTCTGGTGGGCGGTTGACCCTCAGCGCTTTGCTCTTTTGCTCGTTGAGGCGCGCGCCCGAGAGCGAGCCGTACGTCGTGAAGACTTGAAGCGCCGCGCCAAGGTCGTCAGCGTCGCGTAGGTTCAGTGTGATGTCGTCGGCGTACGCAGTCGCCCTCACCTCGCCGCTGCCGGGAGGGGGAGACCGCGCACCAGGGAGCACCGCTCAATGTTGTTGAGGAACGCCTCGAGCGACAGGACGAAGTGGAGCGGCGAGAGTGGGCAGCCCTGGCGTGCGCCTCGCGTGACGGGGAAGCTGGCCACCACGCTGCCGTCCACGCACAGATCACTCTTCATGCCGGCGTACAGGACCTCGAAGAGGCGCACGCCCTCCGGGGGGAAACCGAAGGTGTCAAGCGTGGCGAAAAGGAAAGGGTGCTCAACCCGGACGAGCGCTTTCGCCTGGTCCAGGGAGGCGATCAAATCCCTGGCGCAGCGGGAATTCGTGTTGTGAAACACGTCTCTCGTGAGTGACGACAGTGTGTGGACGCTGCGGCCTACGACCGAACACGTCTGGCGCGTTGTTGCAATGTCCGGGAGGATGTCGTGCAGCCGTTGTGCAAGCACCGAAGCGAGCAGCCCGTAGCTTGCGCTTAGCAAAGTGATAGGTCGCCACGGCCCTGGGTAGCTGGGGTCTCCTCCCTCCTTGGGCAACAGGATTATCCTGCCCTGCCGGAAGGACTCCGGCAGGCGGAGCTCCGTGAAGAACGTGCGGAGGACTGCACAGACATGCTCCCCAGCACATCCCAGAACGTGTGGTAAAACTCGGTCGGCAATCAATCCGGGCCCGGCGCAGATCCAGTCTTCATTTTCAGGAGGGCGTTGTGAACCTTCTCTGCATTGGGGGGCTTGAACAGCTGAGCGCCGGTGGTGGGTGGAACTTTGGGGAGGTCGTGCAAGAAAGGGTGCGTGGCCAGGGTCGCGCGGTGTATCGTTGACTCCGAAGTCGCCAGGGCCTCGAAGTGGGAGCTGAAGCTTGGGACAGAAGGTTGGCCAGGCGGAAGCGTCGATGCAGCAGTTGGAAAGGGCGGGACTCGCCGCTCCCTCACCTGTGTCCGGTGTGTGTAGCGAAGCACTTCGGGGTGGAAGGAGGGTCCGCCCTTCCCCTGAAGAACTGTCGTTGCTGTCTTCGACGCCCGTAGTAGGCGTTGGTACCGGTCGAGGAGCTGCGACAGGTAGCCCCCCTTAGGGGAGTCCCAGCACCTCCGCGACGTACGATGCGGATTCGCAGCGAGGTGTCGCGGAGCTCTTCAACTTGCCGCTGGCGCAGGGCACGGCCCTCCGCCACACACGCCACCCGCCAGGTTTCTAGAAGGTGGTCCCAGTTCGCTGGATCTAGCGCCACTCCAAGAAAAGACCGGCGCAAAACTTCTTTCAGGCGGTCGCGGCTCGTCGGGTCCCGCAGGACGCGGGAGTCCAAACGCTAGAAGCGTTGGTGTCCGGTCGAGGGAGCCAGACTGAGCTCCGCGAGCACTGGCCGGTGGTCTGAGACGTGACCGATGGGGGTTGGGAAGTTCACAGCCCCACAATCTTGAACGGCGTAGGCTAGAATTTCGGTGACGTAGACCCTGTCCAGGCGGCTGCTTGACTTACCACGTTGCCAGGTGTGCCCGAAAGTAGCGCCATCGAGAAGGGTCCAGCAGTCCACCCAGTCGAAATGTCCAATCAACCGTCTCAACTCGCGGGCATTCCACGTACTGCGGTAATACCCTGGTCTTCCAACGTCGTGCCGGGAGTCGACGACGCAGTTGAAATCGCCGAGTACCAGGCAGTGGCGCGCGTCGAGGAAGTGAACATCCAACCCCTTGTGGAATGCCGTGGAGTGCGAGGGTTGTGCCGGGGCGTAAATGCACACGGTGCGAAAACGAGCGGCGTCCACGAAAAAATCGAATGTGATGAATTGGCCATCGGGGTCGAAGCAGCACGAACTTTGCCGC